TCATTCCATGAATTCATTAATGCATGGATATCTTGAGTAATTTGACCTTTAATGGCCAACAAAGCAAGCTGATCAGTTTCATTCGCAGAAGATAGGGAAGTTGTTGGACATGTTTGGAAGGAAGGAGAAGTGATAAGACAATAGAGAACTGCAAAAGGAAATATGCCTTCTTCATGGTTAAGTAAAGGGAGAGAAGGGACAGAAGATAGTTAAATTCATTACAAGTATTTGAAATAGCTCTATATATATTGAATTATGTTGATTTCATTCGTTCATTCATTGCTAACAAAGTAGCATGGGCCACTAAAAAACAAAAAATTAAAGCAAAAAACAACATGTTCAAATAAAAGTACTTGTCTTGGAATAAGTTGCAGAGCTATGATTTGTGATAAGAGGGCAAATTTGTTAACAAACTTATGTATTATTCTTCTTGATCTGTTTTTATTGTGTTAATTTAATTTTTACATTAAATTTAGTTTTATAATTTTATATAATAATCACATGATAATTGAAAATTATTTTTTTCTTAAATATAGTATTTGTTAAATATTTTTATCTAGGTCAAAAAAAAAAAGTTGTCATTTATTTTTTATATAAATAATCAAGTTAATTAACATAAAATTGATAGAATAAGACAACCAAAAAGGACCAAAGAGAGTAACATGTAGTTGTAAAATTGAAAACCTGTCTAAAATCAAATTTGATTATGTTCAATATGAAATATATTGTATTTTGAAATTTTTTGTGATTACTGAATAATTATCTAATTATATTTTTGGAAAAAAAAAGTAAAGAATAAAATACATTAAAAAAATACTAGGTAAAAAATTTTTAAAAATATAAAAAAAAAACATAGTATAAAAATGACAAAATAAAATAAACAAATTTGGCTTAGTAAAATGTTATGAGTTAAAGATGAAGTTTTAATATTTTAACATAAAAAAATAAATATTAGTGACTAAAATAAATATTTTTAAACTAATTTTAAGCATAGAAAGGTCATGATCTAAGTAGTAGGAGGGAGGATAGGGTGAATAAATGTTAAAAACTTAGAGATTTTTTTAGCAATCTTTTGGCAAAAAAAAATAGAGATTAAAATGCAATTTTTATATTTAATATATTTGTTACGAATTGTTATGATAGTATTATATTTTGAATTTAATGACAAAATTTATAAAAAGGAGTAATAACGGTTATTTTCATATATACTAAGAATAATTAGGGGAATAAAACAAAAATTGATGATAAAATTCATAAAATATAAAATTTAGAGACTAACTTGAAAACCTTTCAAAAGACCCAGGGAAGGGGGGCATAGCCCTCCCTGGTGTCTCCATAGATGCGCCCGTGTCACAACCAAATACTGAATTTAAGGAGTTTGTGTTTCCCGACTGGTATAAATAACAATTTATAATTTTTTATTAAGTAAAATTACTAAATTGGTGTAAATAGTTAATTATATAGGTAATTTTCTTTTAATTATTATATATTACTAAGGTGTTGTGCCTTTTTTTATTAAACTTAATATATTATATAAATGATAGTTAAATTTTTTTATTAAATAAAAATATTTTTAAAAAATTACATATAAAAAATTTTAATTATTATTTATATATTATTAAATTCTTATTTAAAATTTATATTTAAAAAATTAAAAAATCAGACTTAGACCACTAAAGTTAAATAAAGAGAATAATAATTTTAAAAAATAATTACAATAAAATGTTAAATTAACTTTTGATTCTAACAAAACACAATAAAGTGAGATGAGACGAGACAATAAATATTTGTAAGGTTAGATTTTTTATCAACACTTCAGCTTGTAAATTTTTTAAAATGTCATAAATAAAATTCTTAATATCATGTAATATTATAATTTTACCATAATGATGTGATATTAAATAAATATAATATAACACTAAACAAAATGATGTAATATTAGATAAATAAATATATAATATTATGAATAAATTTTTAAATTAAAAAATTAATTATATGATAATATATTATATTATAAATTTATAATTATAATATTTTTATTTTTTATATTATTTTATTAATAATATTTTAATAATTTTAATGTCAAAGTCTGCTTTAAATTAATAATCAGATCTAGAAAATATGAATCTCCTTTTATATTTGCTAGTCGTTGATGGTGGGCAACGAGGAAGCCTATTGGAAGGACAACTGAAGTGAGGGACCGAGTCCCCACTATAATCTTTGGCAGGTGGGGCGAGTGCGTGGCTATTGGATTCGTCCTTTTCTCCTCTAACAGACTCACATGATGCCAGTTTTGACACTCCCAAATTAATCAGAAAGTGGGCTTAGGTAGTAATGAGGGTATACAGGTAGGTAGATAAAGCTGGCAATTTGCCCTGATATTTGCGGGTCTTACAAGGATCTCCATAATGGGGACGGAAGATGGAGAAATATGCTTTCTCATGGGACGGAAATGAGAGGTATTTTCACCTCATGAAATTTTATAAGGAATTTTTCTTGCCCTGAGGAATCCCATCTCCTCAAAAAAAATTGTAAAAAATAAATTAATTCTATTTTAAATTTAATTCAACCTTAAAAATATCAAACTCAAATTCAATTTAATAAAAATTAAATTTTACTCAACCTAACCCACTGTCCTCCTTTTTACCCTAATCCTAACCTTATTGCCTCCATTCTGCCCTAACCTAAATCCCTCAATTCCCTCCGTTGTCGCCCTAACCTTAATCATTTCTCCTCACTCACTCTCACGACCTCACCTTCGACTTTTCCCTCCCCTTCTGGCTTCTACTGCTGGAGCTGTTGACTGATGTTGAACCCACACTGTGTTCTAGCTTTTGCTGCTACTGATCTGCTATTGGAGTTACTAACTGCTATTGAACCCACCCTGCCTTTTGGCTTTTGCTGCTACTAATCTACTGCTAGAGCTACTTACTACTGTCGTACCCACAATGCCTTCTAGCTTTTGCTACTGTCGAACCCACACTGCCTTTTAGCTTCTGTTATTGTCGAACCCACACTGCCTTCTAGCTTCTACTGCTATTGATCTACTGTTGGAGTTGGTTGATTGTCGTTGAACCCACACTACCCAAGTGTTTTGAGTTGGCTGCCTCCCTTCATACTAGATGTTAGTTTAGTTATTTTATTTATGTTGGATTGATTTTTGCTTATATTTGGAACAATGATGTTGCTTTAACTATTTATGTTGGATTAATCTCTATTTATGTTTAGAATAAGTTTGTTGATTTAACTATTTATGTTTAATGTAAAATATATATATATATTGATATTAATTGGCTAAAAATGAGGATCCCCGCTAAAATCCCCGTTCCCCACGAGAAATGGGAATATGAGACAAAAATTGCCCCTCATAAAAAATCTTCACGGGGATTCCCATCCCTACCATTCACGGAGACGGAAGCAAGGAGGGACTTGTGGCCCCACGAGACCCTGTAGATCTACCTATAGATAGATGCAGCCCTTCTAATTTAATTAAGCTTTGAGCAGCAATATACTGTGTATGATTGTAGAATTTTCCGTAATTGACGGAATCAAGGGCGTTGAATTTCTTCATTAAACAATTAAAAAGATTGTTTAATATAATAATTTAAAATTAATAACGAGCTAATTAATTTAATTTAATAAATAAAAATATTTAAAATTATTAATCATCATATTAGATGAAACGTGAATCACTAATTTTGAATCGATGTAACCAACAGACTTTGATGTCACAGGAGAAACCTCAAATGTGAACAAATTATAAACTCCGGCTAATGAGGATAAGCTTTTTAGCTTTCGTTTGTTATCGGCTGTTTAGAATATTGTTTATATATATTTATAAAATTTTTTTGTAATTTATATATTTAATAAATTATCCATCTTTATTTTTTAAAAAAGAAAAACAAAAACCATCTGATCTAAAATTAATAGAAATTTTAAATAATTTAAATTTAGTTTGATAACACTATCTATAATATTTTTTATAGATATTTACAAATTTTTTATAATTTATGTATTTGGTAAAGTAACTATTCCTACCCTTTCATAAAAGAATACAAAAGTTATGTTATCTAAAATTAATAGAATTTTTAAATAATTTAATAAAATTTTTAAATCTTTTTTTGTACATTGTATATTAAATTATTAATTAATTTAATTTAAGTAATAATGTATTTAATTGAATAATTTTATAATAGATAGTTTTTTAAAATATAATTACTAAATACTAAAATATTTTTTGTGATGATAAAACAAAATATTTTTAACAATTACAGTTATAAAATAGTCCTAAATAACATTGTCAAATTAAATTTTAATAGAATTTTCAAATCTTATTCATATATTATATATTAAATTATTAATTAATTTAATTTTAAATAATAATATATTTAATTAAATAATTTTATAATAATATTTTTAAAAAATATATAATTATTAAATTTAAGATATTTTTTATGATAATATAACATACAACTTTTAATAGTTAGAGTTACAAGACAACATTAAAATTAAATTGTGAAACTAAACCTAGGTTTTTCCGAGGCAGGCAGGAAGGTGGGCATTCGGTGGGGGGAGGAGTTTGGGCGTTTCGAAAAAGTGGAGGTAATTGTACAGTTAGAAAGCTGATCGAAGCAATCGCCTGCAATCAGAAATCAAGGCACCCAATGAGTGAAAATTTTGATTAGCAGAATCTAATACCTAAGTTTAATGTAAATATTTTTTTATTAAATAAAAAATGAATGTGAAATATGTATTTTACCTTTTTTTTAGGAAAGAAAATATATATTCTTTGATTTTTTTTTAAAGTAAAAAGAAAATTAGATATTAAATTTAATTATTGCTTGTTTCTTATAAATTTTTAAATTTAAATTTTGTTTTTGTATATTTGACTAAAGAAATATTACTCTCACAAACCAAACAAGCCCTTGAAATGTTCTCAAATGCCCATTAAAGACCAAAACTTAAAGAAGCCCAACCACAAAGATACCTCACCCGACCCGATTGCTTTCTTCTTCTTTCTGTCTGGCTCTGAAAATCATCGTGGTTAAAGGCAAAGATCGGCTTAACAAGCACGCGTCGCCGTCGGTGTGATTGAAGAGGACGAGATTTCACTTCGATACAACTGAAGTAAAGCCTAAAAAGGAGGTTTAAGATCCCAACCCAGGTCCCTAAAAGCCCTCCTCTTTCACTCTTTTGCTGAAGATCCCCACCAAGATGTTCAAGAAGTAAGCATTCTCTTATTTTTCTTGTTTTGTCGTTCCTTTTTGTGGTTCTTAAAATTGGGTTTTTATGCTGCTTTTATTGAGTTTTGCAATCTATCTTGTTTGTTGGTTTTGTTTTAAACTCAAACATACTTACCCTATGTTGCTTTTTTCATTGTTTAATTTATATAATATCATTGCTTTGGGTCTGTCTTGAAATGGGTTGTGTTTGGTTAGACACATGGAGCGATCTCAGGGAGTTTTGTAAGCAGTAAAGGGTCTGACCAAGTTGGTGGAATTGGGATTGGAATTATGAACCGTTGATGTTTGTAGACATGATATCGATGATTCCTAGAATAGCTATGCCATTGGGTTGTAATGGGTTTTTGCCTTGGAGAAGTGATATCTTGAAATGGAGGCATTATCTAGGCTGAAGAAGTATTGGTAAAGCGAGGATATAATTTTATGACCCTGTAAAATGGTTTTCTAAAGTGGTTATATACCATTCTTGTGTTGCTTGAAGGGAACCAAACCATGGTTCTTGTTGGGACTTTCCTTAGCTTATTTAGTAAGTCCCTAGGTGATTGTAGGTGAATGATTGAAACCCTTTTGGCGAGAATTTCTTTTACAGTGATCCACTTAGCAAGCTTTTGATCAATTCACAAGAGGTTGAACTATTGTATGACTAAGTAGGAATTTTTGGTTGAAATTTTATGTCTATGTTAATTTTGAAATGTCTATTTTCCTGTTTGAGTAATTAAATTCTTGAATTTGGTGTCAATTCTTCTATGTACACATGCTGCACTTATTTCTCCCACCTCATCACAATTGTATCTATTAATCATAATAACCGGCGTACTGCGTATTTGATTTTGTAGGTTTTCATCTGAAGAGGTTTCTGCACAAAACCAAGTCAAGGCATCTGTGCAACGCAAGATTCGGCAAAGCATTGCTGAGGAGGTTTGAAATTACTTGGGGCTATCCTTTTGTTTTTTTTTTTTTTTTTTTTCTGCAAATGATATGATAGCACTCGATTTCTAAAATATCTCAGCATTTGATCGTA